GGGGGGGGAGGGCCTGTAGGTGAAGGGGGGTCTGACCAGGAGTCACCTGCTCGCGGTTGCCCTCCAGCGCGGGCAGCACTTCCTTGACAGTGCGCTCTACCAGGATGCCCCCCACCATGCGGTAACACTTCCGTGTGGGGTCCACCTCGCGCAGCGTCTCAATCACCAGGCTGTCGGGCAGGGGAGGCCCTGTCACCCCCACATCACCCTGCATTGCTCCCGGTGACAACCCAGCATTCCTCGTTTTGTTGCTGTGGCACTCTCGGTGTCAACGCCCACCATTCTTCAGTGTTCCTCCTCGTCCCAGGAGTCCCCTCCCAATCACCTTCACTGCCCCCTGTGCCCTCCACATCCCCGCTGTCATTCCTATATCCAACAATATCCTTCCACAACCCTCCAGCGGCACCTCCACACCCGATGGCCCCCCTCACGGTCCCTCTCATATCCCCAAGTGCTTCCCACATCCCCAGTGACACCTCTATACCCCCAGTGCCACCCCCAGCGTCCTCCCCACCCCCACCACACACCATTTGTGTCCCTTCCACGTCCCCACTTCCTCACGGTGTTCTCCACATGTCTCTAAGCAGCACTCCCAGAGTCCACGTGCCGACCCCCAGAGACATCCACACCCCCGGGGTTCCCTCTATCCCAGTGCCTCCCCATTCGCTGTTACTCTCCCAATACCTTGGTCCGTCTGCCCCCATGTCCCCGTGCCCCCCCATTCCTCAGTATGCTCCCCAACCCATCCCTCGGTACACCCTCACTCTCTGGTACCCCCCGACGTCCCCATGCTCCCCACCATTCCCCACCGCCCCCCATCCTTGTGTTCCCCTTTTTTTCCGTCCTCCCTCGCCCCATTCCCCAGTGCGCCCCCAACACACTGCTACCCATGTCCCCATGCCCCCCCCCCCCTTGTCCCGTTACGCTTTCCTGTCCCTCTGTCCTCCCCCCCACCGGTGTTCGTTGAGATCCAACTCCAGCTCCGCCGCCTTGGAAGCCAGGCCGCGCTGCTCCTGCCGTAACCGATTGAACCGAGCCACCACCTGCGTGGACAACCGCGGAGGTGTCATCAAGGGATCCCGGGACCCTCCCTCATCCATCCCCAAGCCCCGCCCTGCACCTGCTCCGCCGTCAGCACCTTCCCGGCCGGCCCTGTCGCCGCGGGCCGCCCCTTCACGCTGTCCGCCATCTTTCCCCCTCCACTTTGCGCCTCTTCCGGCGCACACCGGAAATTGGGCAGGCTCTCTTCCGGCGCAGACCTACGCCATGATTGCGCTCTTCCGGTGTATACCGGAGACAACCTGGGCGCCATCTTGGTAAAGGTCAAGCCTGGCAGCGGTGCTGTATGGTGAGGTAGTGCTGGGCGCCATCTTGGTTGTGGGCAGTGGTGTCGGGGACTTTGCCCGTTGCCCCGATCACCGCCTCCCGCTTCGGTGCTGTCGGCGCGACATGTACGGGCCGGGGGCAGTCTGGGGGGGGGTTCTGTGGGCAGTTTGAAAGTGTTGGTGGGGTACCAGGGGCAGTCTGAGAGTGCCGGGGGCAGTTCGGGGGGGTCCTGAGCCAGTTTGGGGTCCTGGGAGCAGTTTGGAGAAATATGTGGGGCCCTTGAGGCAGTTTGGGATTCTAAGGGCCGTTTGAAGTGTGCTGGAGCAGTTTGGTGGCGCTGGGAGCAATTCTGAGACGTGTTGGGGGCAGCTTGGAGGGTCCTAGGGCCAACTGGGTGTGCTGGGGACAACTGTGGAAAAGGTCAGAATGTGAGGAGGGGTCTGGGGCACTTTGGGGTATTCCGGGGGCAGGGTCTTTTTTGGGGGGTGGGGGGTTGGGGGCAGGATGGAAGGGTCCTTGGGGCAATGTGCGGCAGTTTGGGTTAGGGTTAGGGTTGGGGACAGGCTGAGGGACTCTAGAGGCAAATCGTGGTGGTCCTGGGACAGTTTGGGTGCCGCTAGGGGCTCTAAGAGGCAATATGGGGCTGCTTGGGAGCAGCCTGAGGGTCCTGGGGACAAACTGGGGGGCTTTCTGGTGCAGTTTGTGGCTTGGAGGCAGTCTGGAGATCTTGGTGGCAACTTGAGTGGGGTGCTAGGAGCATTATGGGGCAGCTTGGGGGTGGATTGAGGGTTTAGGAGCAGCCTGAGAGTCCTGGGGACAAACTGGGGGTGTCCTAGGGCAGTTTCAGCTTTGAGGAGGGGCTCACTCTGTGCCCCCCCCCACCCAGGCTGAGTGCGGTGCTCCGGTTCCCACTGCACCGCTTATGCCCAGGCCCCTGGAGCCACCTGGGCAGGTACTCACATGTGGGTGGCAGTGGGTGGGGACACACAACCATGGTGACCGCATCCCTGGTGCTGACCCACGCTGTGTCACAGCCACCAAGCCATGGCGGCGTCCCTGGGACCGAAGCCGCTGGTGGCCGTGGGCCAGGTGACCTCCACTCCTGACAAGGAGCAGAACTTCTCTAGCTGTGCAGCGCTGGTGCGGGCGGCAGCACGGCGGGGTGCGTGCCTTGTCTTCCTCCCCGAAGGCTTCGACTACATTGGCCGCGACTCTGCGCAAACGCTCAGCCTGGCTGAGAGCCTGGACGGTGAGCTGATGGCACGCTACTCCACGCTGGCCAGGTAATGGTGCCATGGGAACGCCCAGGGTGGCTCTGCTCATCCTGGTGACACTGCTTGTTTTGATGACACTGCTCATCCCAGTGACAGCGCTCATCCCAACAGCGCACTGTTTGTCCTGGTGACAACACTTCTCAGTAGCACCACTCATCCTGGTGTCATCGCTTGTCCTGGTGGCACTGCTCATCCCAGTGACATCACTCACCCTGGTGGTGCCTGTTGTCCCCGCGACAATTCTTGTCCTAGTGACATCACTTGTTTTGCAGTGACACCACATTGCTCCCCACAGGGACTGTGGTGTGTGGCTGTCCCTGGGTGGTTTCCACGAGCGCAGTGCAGACTGGCCAAGCACGCAGCGCATCTACAACTGCCATGTGCTGCTGGACCAAACAGGTGAGCCCCCCCGGCCCTGCATTATTGAGGGCCCTGTCACACATCGGCCTGCTCCCGGTGCTCCCTTGTCGCTCGCAGGCCGTTTGGCAGCAGCCTACAGAAAGACCCACCTGTGTGACGTGGAGCTGGAGGGCCGGGTCACCATGAAAGAGAGCAGCTTCACCAACCCCGGCACCGAAATCGTGCCTCCCATCAGCACTCCAGCGGGAATGGTACGGGGTGGCCATTCCCATCTTCATCCCATGCCACGTCCCGTGCCTGTTCTGATGTCCCCTTGTCCCCTACCAGCTCGGACTCTCCATCTGCTATGACCTGCGTTTCCCTGAAATCTCACTGGCACTGCGGCACGCCGGTGCTGAGATTCTCACCTACCCCTCTGCCTTCACCTTCCCCACAGGTTCCGCACACTGGGAGGTGAGCATTAACCACTCCTCCAACCCCTCCCACCCAAAAAACCCCCACCTCTTTTTCTCTCTATTTCTGGGGTGACCCTCATCCTCACTGCGGCCCCACAGGTGCTGCTGCGAGCACGTGCCATCGAGACCCAGTGCTATGTGGTGGCAGCAGCGCAGACAGGTCGGAACCACGAGGGCCGCGTGTCCTACGGCCACACGCTGGTGGCAGACCCCTGGGGGACGGTGGTGGCACAGTGCAGCGAGGGACCGGGGCTCTGTTATGCCGAGATTGACCTCGAGTACCTGCGCCGCGTGCGCCGCGAGATCCCGGTGCAGAGTCACCGCCGTGCTGATCTCTATGGGACTGTGGGGCTGCAGGCAGCACTCTCAGCCCCATAGCAACCCACAGCCGGGCTGGATCCTATGTTTATCTCACAAAATACGGGTGGGGACACGCACCTGGGGCTCTGTGGTGTTCCCGGTGCTGGGGGTGTCACTGGAGAGACAAAGGAAAGAGCCGTGCACTGCTGTAGATGTTTATTTCAAGAAAACCGAAAGCTACACAGGGAATATGACCGTTATATTGAAGTTTTTAAAAAATACAGAAGTCACAGAAATTACACCACGTTGTGCCAAAGTTGGCTGTCACCTGGGGGGGGGGGGGGGAAGTGCTACACATCCCCCTCTCCAGCTGTGGAGTCAATGCCCGCCCCACGGTGGGGGGACAGCTTGGGGGATGGGGAAAAACCACAAAGTTGGGGGTGGAGAGGGGAACGTTCCCCCCGTTCCCCCCAGGACCTTCAGAAGGGGGACAGCAGAGGTGACAGGCCCGCTAGAACACAGCCATGGGGCCAACTCCCCCTATCCCAGTTTGTCCCAGCTCATCCCAACTGCAATAAGAGGACGGGACAGGCAGAGATCTCGCTGTGTCCCTCAGCACTGTTCCCCCCCCCCAGGCCCCATAAGGGAGGGGGACACAAAGGCACATGGTCCTGGGGACAGCATGGGGACACCTCGGACACCTCCAGAGCTGCTCCTGAGGACCCCAGAGAGGAGGCAGTGGAGTGGGGGGTCGGGGCTCTGGTATCAGGGACAACAGGGCCACTCCAGTGCCAGGCCCGTAGGGATGCTGACAAAAGGGCAGGAGAGGAGCACAGCCACCTCACAGCTCCCAGTACAACTCCCACCCTGTCCCATCTCTGCCCATTGCTGACCCACCCCGGGCGCAGCTTTTTACTTTTTTGGGTTGATTTTTCTTTTTTTAATGGATACAAAACAAAAGAGAAAAAGAAAACAAAGCAAGAAAGAAGGTGACAGGACAGAAGGGTGAGAGAACACGTAAGCCTCCGGCGCTCCCTGCAGCAAACCGGGTCCCACAGCTCAGCACCCCATGGGAGTCCAGCAGGGCTTTAGATCTTTTCTTTTAGAAAAATTAAAAAAAAAAAAAGACAGAAAAAAAAAAAAAGAGCTTGAATCCCGTCAGGGGGCCGTCTGCAGCATCAAGTTCCTCAGGAGTTTCTGGCGCCCAACCTCGTAATCCTCCTCATCCACATTGACCAGCAGTTTGATGGCTTCGTGGCCCACGGCTTGCTTGAGCGAGTCCGTGATGAAGACGCCCTTGAGGGCCTCCAGCAAAGAGCCGTTGATGTAATCACGCCAGAACGCGTCGAGGTAGGTGAGCTCTGAGAATTTTATGTCACAGATGATGGAGCCCAGGTCCCGGGACTTCAGGATGGTGTTGGCTTGGTTGAAGCGCTCAAACTGGCGCTCCAGCGGGTCCTGCTTGTTGGAGAAGACGTTGCCCTGGAGCGCCGTCTCGTGCTGGCAGTACTCGGCTCGGACTCGCAAGCGGATGTCTGCAGGGAGCAGGGCACTCAGCGTGCTGTCCCCATTCTCTTGGGGGTGTCAGGACCCCCTCTGTCCCCCCCGGCCCCCCCACACATCTTACCGCATGTCTGCTTCTCCTTGGGGTCTGGAGTCACCGACTTCCTGCGCTTGCGCTGGCTGCTGAGGAGGGCCCTGCCACGGCCGGGCCTCTTGGTGCAGATCTGCGGCCCCGCCGAGGAGCAGCAGACCATGGGGTGCTGGGGAGGCACTGGCCAGAGGACGAACAGGTGAGGAGCCGGGACGGGGGGGCGCCTCAAAGCAGGGACCCGGAGTCGTGTGCTGCCCCACGGTGCCCAAGCCTGGGGCTGGGGGCTTCGCTCCCTCCGCAGCCCACAGAGTTGCAGACCAGGGGCAGCCCCAAAAGCACCTCTCCCATAGGGAGCAGAAGAGCCACCCAGCTCTGTGGAAATCTTTTGGTGCATTCTAAAGCTTTGATTTCATCCTAGGGTGAACCTGGAGGATGGCCTGACTGGAGCTGCTCTCCAAAATGGAAAGGGACACCAAAATCCTCGTTTGGTCGAACCCCGGTCGCTCAATGTGTCACTTGAGCACTGCTAAAACTTGCAGTCAGCACCAGGCTGTCCCCAGCCTACATCACTGGGATGAGGTGACAGTGACAGGTGGGGAAAGGCACCACTAATGTGAAGGGACACAATCACACCAGGGCCAGATTCTGCTGGGACAGCACTGCAGAGAGCCCGTGTGCGAGCTATGGGTTGGGGTGGGGGCACTTCTCGGGCGGGCACAGCCCTTTTGTAATCGGTGCCACAACTCTCGTGCCAGCTTCTGCTCCATTATCAGGGAAACGGGAATTCAGACACAGAGATCCTGGTGCGTTCCCAAGCCCCAGGTCCTCACCTGATTTGTGGGGGTGGCCGAGGCCGTGTTCCGCAGCGCTGTGAGCCCGCGGCGTCACGTAGCGGATGGAGGTCTCCTCCAAGTACTTGTCCACCAGGTCCGGGCACACTGCCGCAGAGGGAGCGAGGGTCTCGTTAGGACAGACCCAGAGAGCAGCAGCACAAAGCGCCGCAGGCGCAGATCCCCACTGCACACACATCCCCGATGACTTCCACTGGTGACTTCCCACAGGTGATTTCCCCACAGCATCTTTTTAAGCCCAAGAACCTCACAACCGCTTCCTTTCCAAAACAAAGCAAAACAAACAAACAAAAAAGCACCCCCAAAGTCACAGCCATGTAGTTCCCAGCCCCAGCAGTGGCACTCGAGGTCTCTCCGGTACCCCACTGCAAAGAGCTGTTCCTCAGATATTGGGAAATAAACTCATTTCAGAGCTCAGAAATAACACTGCTGTGTGGGAAAGGCCCACTCCACAGCTACAGGCACTGCCCGTATCATTCCGACACCGTCAGTCCCCAGGACAGCCCCATGCCGATGCCCCTGCCTACATCTCCAAGCTGCAATAGCAGGCAGCGTTATCTGCATGGCTTCAGAACAGAGCTCTGAAGCAGTGTGATGCGCCCTGCCGGGGCTCCGAAGTCACACTGATAAGGAGGAGCAGCTGCAGAGAGCAAAAATGATGGGGAAAGCGAGATCACAGCTCCCATCCTTCCCCCAGCTCTGAGCTAACTCAGGGCTGAGGCTTTGCTCCTCTGCAGAGAAACAGCTACGAAAGAGGAACAAAGAGATGAGGTTGCAGTGCGGCGCAGCTCTGGAAGGAGGCAGGGACCCGAGCAGCACTTCCTCTAGCCCATCAACCCGCTCCCCCTCAATGCAAAGCACACTGTAAACCTCGTTCAGCTGCAGCTCTCGGCACTTTTCTGAACTGTTTTGGGGTATTTCTTAAGCTGCTGCCATTAGAATGTGGCTGGTCAGGATCTCACACCTCCATGATTTCTGCCTCCTGATGCAGCTCTCCAGCACAGGACAGATGCCATCGCCAGGACAGGGGGGTGACAACCCCAGGTTAAAGGATTTCTTGTGGTCTCTGTGCTCCTCTGTCAGCCCCCCCACATCTCACCCCAAAAAAGGGGAAGGTTTCGTGCCTGCCCATACTTGTTTTCACCACTTTCCCAAGCGCTGGCATAACAGTTGTGAGCAGAAAGCTGAGAGAGCAGCCCAGAATGGCCATGAAAGCACAATTAACCTCATTTCATGAGAAAAATGCAAATTTCTGAGGCTGGAGCCTGCCAAAGCGGCCACCTCCCCGCTCCTGCAACAAGTGAGCTCCTCAGCCCTGGGTGAGGTTCCCCGAATGGCGAACTGGCACAGAGCTGGGCCTACAGTGACAAAAACCCAACTGATTTACCCCAGTCTGAATGTCCTGGTAACAATGCTCAGGTCTGCACCCAGAGCAAAAGCAGGCTGCTGAAACAGGAGAGGTTGGGGCACTCTGCTCAAACAGCACGGTCTCCTGGAATGTGCCACAGTGTGCTGCACAGCAGTATGCTCAGGGAGGACATCAGTCACCTCCGGAGCCTTGTGTCCCTTCTGAAAAGGCGAGCACGCTGTCCCTGGAGCTCCTCCTTGCCCTACCCAAAGGCCACTTGAAGGAATCTCCCCAAAAACAGGGCCTTTGGGCCAGAATAAACTCTCCCTAAAGCCCCAGAGAGTCTCAGTGGAAAAGAAAGAGGAGAATCTTAGAACCATGGGATCACAGCACAGCCGAGTGGGGGGGGATCCTATAGATAACAGAACCGTGGGATCACTCGGTTCTCTGGCGTCGAAAGGCACTCAAAGACCACAGAATCACAGTTCGCTGTCGCCCTGCTCTACCACCACCCCCCTTGGGCCACAGTCGGAGCGCCGGGCACTCACCAGCCCGCCGCCTCTTGAGGGTGACGTAGGGCAGCAGGTCGTGGCGCGTGATGATCCGCAGCAGCTGCAGCACCTGCCTGAAGTTGGTCTCATCGCAGCGGCCCTGCCGCTCCAGCGCCAGCAAGAAGTCCCTGCCGCTGCGGATCATGCCCCGCTCGTAGTCATCGATGACGTCCACGAAGAGGAAGGAGAGGACGCGCACGTCGCGGTGCGTCAGGTGAGTGCCCACGATGTCGAACATGCGGTGCAGGCTGTACAGCCCGTGCTCGCGGTCGCCCTGCTCCTCGGGCCAGGCCTGCGTGCGGCTGCGTTTCAGGGCTGCCATCTCCGCCTGGCACGCTGTTCCTGCAAGGCAAAAAGAGGCCATTGGGTTTGAACATGGGTCCTGTCGCTCTCTCTCTGTGAAAATCCCACTCTCGGATCCTCCAAGCTGAGCTTCGCCATCCAGGGTTGTTCCCACCGCTGTGCCACTCCCCTCTGGTGCGGCGCGACCCCCAAATCTCAGCCACGTGCCCCTTCTCTGCCAGGATCCCAAACCAGAGCTGGGGCAACAGCCTCAAACCGTGCTGTCCCATTACAGCGGGCTCCAAATCCTCGAGGTGCCACCACCAGTGGGACAGGCAGGACGGTGTCCCTCCTGTCACAGCTGGCACGCCCTGAGCTGCTCAGCTCCAGGCCCCGTCAGACCGGCTCCAGGCTCTCCCTCCCCGTGCTGGCAGGTTTGTGGCTAGGGAAGCCCCAGGATGGGTGATTTTACTTCATCCGAGGCCACTCCACCTCTAGACTTTGTTCTTTGCCATTTGTCAGCATGGTCACCCCCAAGATTCAACTAAGTATGAAATCACACTGGGGACAAGGCTGAGTTTTACAGCAAGACCAGCCAGCAGCTCAACAACTCTGTGCTTCCAAAGGCAATGCTGCAGCAGCACTGCTGTGCCTCAAAGCACACTCTGAGAGCTCAGCTGTCCCAAACCGTTCCCACAAGCAATTGGGAACCCAAATGCCACATCCCAGCAGGAACTGAGGAAAGGAGAACTTGGAGTGGTGGCACCTGGAGAGAGAAGAGATTCCTCCAAGCTTTGCAAAACCTTTAAGTGCAGAGGTCATGAAGCCATCACAAACTCTAATTGTTTTGTTGCCATTTCACTGCTGCTGCTGGGTTTTGCAACCTGACCTATAAATACTTTGGCACAGGGCGAGCTGCAGCTCTCTATGAAATCCTGCCTGGAAACGCCAAGTTTGCTTCACCCCACGTCCTCCCTCCTGGCAGGGAACCCACAAACCTCAGTCCACACAAAACTGGGGAGGGGGGGAAGTGCTCAAGTCCCAAGCAGTTCCAGCAGCAATCCCATTCTCTAATTTGTTTCTGGGTCTTTGTTTTTAGAGCAAACTTCAAACCTTTCCCCAGGAATCGCTCGTTTTCCTGCTGCCGAATTGTTTCAAAGCCAAAGCAGAAATTAAGCAGATGCTGTCTTTGGGTTATTTAGCACTGGTCACCCGGGAAATGCAAAGAAAAAAAAAAGCAGTTCTACGTCACGGTGCTTAGACTGAAGGAGGAGAAATTCAGCAGAAAAAGCCTCATTCTGAGCGGGGAGTCCCGAGGGGCAGCTCCTCACAGCTGCACCACCCAAAACCGCAGTGTGCTGTCACATTTGTTTTCAAACCAGGGGTTCCAGGAGCCATGACTTGGAAGAGATCCCTCCCTGCCTCCCCTCCCACCTCACACCCACAGGACGGGCATCTGGGGCTGCAAGAAACCTCAAACCCTCCCAGGAAGAGTGCCCAGTGCCAGGACCAGGACTGAGACAGCTTCCGGGGGGCCGCAACTTCAGGTCACCTCCCAGCAGAGAGGCGTGGGGGTCTCAGTTCTCTGCTGCTTTGGGGGCGGTTCACCCCACAGAGCCACCTGGGGAGCAAAGAGATGTGTGCATTGCACGCCAGCGTCACCCCCAGGACCCGGCCCACACACTGTGCAGGCAGAAGGAGGCTGTCGAGCACAGAAGATCATTAAAATAATTTGTGGTGAACAGGAAAAACGAGCTCCCGGTGCCTACAGCGCACTCCGCAGTTGCTCACCCCAAGCCTGGCTCATCCATCCTCCTGTTCACCCTGCTGATTTCAGGGAAGTTACTGCCGTGCCACAAAAACCACCTCTCAGCATCGCAGCCTTGCAGAAGTCATGCAGGGAAAAGCGATAGAAATCAGCTCCCCAGAGGAGTTTTGCTGGAGGTAATATCACAGCATCACAGCCTCCCATGTCCCATCATGGTGGCACTCGAGTGGAAGCAAATGGGGACACCTGGCAGAGCACATGGGGGGGTCGGAGCTGCTCCTTCCTTCGAGGCGCAGACACCTTTGGAAGATTTGGGGCTGGAAGCAAAGCAGGCTGCCAGGCTCCCAAATACACCCACCCCAAAGCAACCCAGCAGCCCACTCCTCACATGTCCAACACTGCACTGCCCCAGACAGCAGCAGGAGGGCAAGCACTGAGCAGCAAAGCAGCTCGAGGGCAGCGCTTGTCAGTGAGAACCCCAGATTGGACAGGACTCACAGGGATTAAGGTTCAACTCCAAATGGAATTAGGAAAACACAGACATGGTTTATCAGCTCCTGATAAACCAAGCGGAGAGAGGAGACTGAGCTACGGCCACTCTCTGTGGGTTTCCTCACCTCTACCCCACAACATTCTACACCCATGTGCATAGGTTGACAGGAGAGCGAGCCTAAGCCTGTCTGCAGGTCTTGAAATGATCTCAAAACCGCAGTTCCAAAACTACAGCAAGCAGAACGGATCCCAGCCCCGTGAAGAACCGCAGTCACACTGCCATCCCTGCAAGTGTCACCGGAGGGCCACAAAACCACTGGCCCATGCCAGGTCACAGGGCTTGCTGTCAGCATCACTGCTTGGAGAAGAACTGATTTCAGGTCGTTTGACTGTAATTAAATCCCCCTAAGCATAGGCAGTGATGCAAGGAATGCTGGAGAAGGGACAGCCGCAGGATTTCACGCACTGCTGCAGCACGGGGCCGCTGGGGCTGTGCAGCATCACAGCGCTCCGTGTGTCCCCAGGATGGGAACTGACCCCAGCAGCAAGGCAGACCCTGAGGGAGGGACTGAAGCTTAAGATGAGGCCAGCCCTGAGGGAGGGAAGGACCCCAATGGAGAGGCACTAAAGGCTCAGCATGGCATGCATGACCACAGCACAGAGCAGAAGGGGTGGAACCACTTGGAACCAACATGGGCAAAGTCTGTGACAGCTAACATCTGGAAGGCACAGCCTCTGCACACGCAGTCATCTTAGGCAGAACTGAAACCAGAATCGAAAGAACCAGAACATTCACCTTTTTTTTTTTTTTTTTTTTTTTTACCCTCTTTTTTTTGGGAGAAGGAAGCCCCACAAGCACACAGTGGTGTGCAACAGCTTCAGCCATGCAAACCTGAGCTGGAGCCAGGGCCTGGCTCACATCCAGGCACCCCAACTTGGCCAATTTTGGCAATTCTATCAGCAAAAAACACACTGGGTTTGAAGGAGCCTCTTCCAGGCTTCTCCCACCTCTCCCCAGACTTCATGCCCAGACCGACAGCCACAGGATCCCAATGTCAAGGACCAACAAAAGAATCTTCTGGACAGGACGTGACACCCAACACCATCGTTCCGTGCAGCTGAGGGATAGGTGACTCATAGGATCATTAAGAAATTAAACCCGTGCACGAAAAACCAACCTTAATGAGGAGCTCCTCTGCTCTGCGTGTATCCACTCCGAACCCGAGCACGGATTGCTCCGAAGTCCTCTATCCCCTTTTCTCTCAGATTTCTTCAGCACAGTACCCCAGCAGGGCCACGTATTTCCCTACAGTGTGGCCCTCGTTTGGCTCTTGTTACAGGAAGCCACACTTCCAGCTTTGATGGCCCTCTTGCCACAGTGGACTTTCCAGAAGCCACCAAACAGTCTTTTTCTCTTTTTTTTTTAAGCAACTCCGATGCCTAAACTTTTTTTTTTTAATCCCTACTTCACTCTGTAATAATTTATTGGTGTCTTGAATCAACCCTGTGCTCCCTACGCTGCTCCTTCAGACATATTCTCAACGCCAAATCCCCGTTCCTCCCTCAGTAGCACAACCAAGTGAGGGGCAGGCTGCTTCAAACCTTTTTGTTCCCCAAGAGCTCCTTCAGAAAACTGGCTTTGCTCACAAAATTTGCAAAAGAAAAAAAAAAAAAAAAAAAAAAAAAAAAAAGCCAACAAAATGGATTCTGGATGGGACTACAGACCCGGAGCCAGGCTCACGCTGTCCCCACAGCCCCTAACACTTCCCCGGCGCCCTTTTACTTGGAGAGGGGCCCCCTCGAGAACTCAGCCCCAAAGGGAGCTCTGTGCCCCCCTTACAGCAGCCCCCCGGCACCCCCACGGGGCTGAGTGGCGTCCGCAGACCCACTACGTCCAACCTCGTCCCACCCCGTGCCTCAGTTTCCCCCTGAGACCTCAGCCCCGCCCCCAGGCCCCGCGGCCGCCTCACGACGCAGCTACGAGGGCCGGGCCCCGTTAGGCCCCCATCCCCCGGGCACCCGGCCGAAGCCTCTCGAGCGCTGCCTCCCACCGCTACAGGGCTGTGCTGAGCGGAGAGGCGGCCCAGGTAACGCCGAGGCTCCCCCTAGGCCGCCCCCGCCATGCCCGGCCCCGCGCTCCCTCCCCTCACGGCCGGGCCTCGCTCGGCGCCGCCATGTTGGCTCCGTCCGCTCCTCTCCCCGCTTGCAGGCGGCTGACGGAGCGACGTCACTTCCGGCGCGACGTCACATTCCGGGCTCCCCTCCCTCCTCAAGCACCGCCCACATCCGGGCCACGCTCACCTCGCCGCCTTCACGCCTGTAGAGACAGACGGGCGGCGCGGAGCCATATTGGATATGGGCGAGAGGATGAGCACTTCCGGAGTACGGGGCGTCGGCTTCATCGCTATTTCGGAACATATGGGACTGCCGCCATGTTGGGTGAGGGCGGGAGGGGTGTGAGGAGGCGCCGCCATCTTGAGTGGGGACACAGGAACAGTGAGGGGACAGTGAAGAGATTGGAGGGGATCACGGGGGTAACGGGGGGGGGGGAGAGTCTCAGTTTTTGGGGAGGCCTTTGGGGAGTGGGGGTGAGATGTGGAGAATGGGGACCATTTGGGGTAAGGAAGGGCTGGCCCTGGGGGCAGGGCGGGGGCTGAGAACTGGGAGGGCCCCAAGAAGGCCCCGTTTCACTCCAGGGCTTTTTTTTTTTAGGGGGGGGGGGGGAAAGGGATTAGGGCAACCCCCCGGTAATTAGCTACACTAATTGTCACACGCGCTGCGTGGGCAGCGATGGCAGAGTGCCTGCTGGGCACTGCCAGGCACCAGCTGCAATCAGTAGTAACAAAGGGCATGTGCAACCTCAATGGGGGAGGAAGCTGTCCTCAAAGGGATTGGAGCCGTCACTGTCCCCATGTGCGGCCATGTCCCTGTGGTGGCACTGTCCTACAGGTGACCCTGACACCAGCTGTGGTCCTGTCCTCAGAGATGGATCTGCCCACAAGTGTGGCCGCATCCCCAAAGACAGTCAGGTCTCCAAATATAGCCTTGTCCCCAAAAAGGGTGGCCATGTCCCCAAAGAAAGCCATGTCCCTAAGCACGTTCCTGTCCCCAAAGGTGTCTTTGACCCTAAGGATGGCTCTGTCCCCAGGAGTGGCCATGGCCCCTGAGGTGGTCCTGTTCCCAAGCATGGCCCTGTCCCTAGGGTTAGGGCCACATTTAGGGACCTGGCTCAGGGATGTGGCCCTCACCCTGGGGATGGCCTCGTACCCGAAGGTGGCCTTGTCCCCAAGGTCAGTTCTGTCCAGAGCTGTCCCCATCCCAGGAGTGTCACGAGGAGGAATGGCGTTCAGGTGACACATGGGGGGGGG